TTCCTAGGTTGGTGTCTGCAAGTAGGCTCAACTAGCACTACCAATACCCCACTTTACCAATTGCTAACCGGAAGGGAAGTGGTACCTCCTCCGCGCGTGTTTTCTGTCTTTCACAGCGAACAAATAGGCCAACTAATCAAATTCATCTACACCCCCTAACCGGACTTACCAATGTATTTACCCCATAACATTTCCAAAACTTTATTTCGCATTATCTTATTCTCAGTGTACATGATTTCAAACTCAACTCAAAACTTACAATAATGTGATGCTAGAAATGCCAACACAACATGCCAAAGCTAAATATTAGTCTTGTTATAATCAATTAAATGAACATGCAATGTAATAATCATGATCATTAGATAACATTTCTCCATATGGATTCATTATAACCAAGCTTCCCACAATGTCTAGCATGTTACCTTTCATTTCGTTTCAATTCAACAACACTAAAACTTTTCACATTTCATGTTAAACCATCCATTTATTGCTTCACAACCTTATCCACAATTCCAACTACAAGTTTCCATTTCCACATTTCACATATCCCATGAAAATTTATCTTCTCTACAATGGCAAGGATATATTCAATTTCGTTCTTCCATTGTGACATATCTACAAATTACTAATTTCATAGGCTCTCAGCATTTTTAACTCCATAAATTTGGGCCTTTAAATCAAGATTAGGCATCTCTTCACCTTTTGAAAGAACTCACACACACAAACATCCTTTTTCACATAATGAGAGTAAAGCCCTCAAAGATCAACTTAGAAACATTTGAGATTTAAACCCCCCCTCCTTTTTTTTGGTTTAAAATATCAGCATTCTTGAGCTAAATCAAACTTTCAAAAGAACCTAAAGAAAACTTTAAAATCAACCATAATCTTGCAAAACATGTATATATAACTTAAGAAAAACCCTGCCTCAAGGTTTGATGATGATAAGAGATGAAACCCTAGAAATCAAAGTTGTAGAAAGTTGATCTCCACCGTACAAAGTGAGGTTCTTGTGTTGCTCGCCAAGATTTGTGAAACAAGATGGATCAAAGCTCCATGGATTGCAAGAGATCAAGGTTTTTGGGTGGTTGGTGAAGGTTTTTAGAGAGAAGGAGGAGTAAAATAATGTTTAGAGTGAGAGAGAAAGGCCCTAAATGTGATACAAACTAGGCCAAAAGAGATATATATATAAAAAAAAATAGAGATTCGGACTTAGGCCCATCCGCACGTGCGGCGCTTGCCCCTGTACGTGCGGAGCATACCTCCCGCATGTGCAGCTCTGATCCCCGTACGTGCGGAATCCTCTGCATCTCCCCTTCCGCACCTGCATATAAAGCAGTGTGCAACCCTCCAAGGCTCACCCTTTCCCGCACATGCGGCCTAGGGCCCCGCATATGCGGCCCTGACCCAGCAGTCTAGAATTTTTCGGTTCAAACCCCTGGGCATTCTCGACTCAACCGAGCATCCTCCGAACCTGGTGGAATTTAGCACCGAACAAGACTAGAACAAGAATTCAATTGAGAGAACTCTTCAGAACAAAAGAAAAGCTAACTCAAAATAAACGAGTATGAGAATTAAAGAAGGGCGTCCGAACACAATAATCCCGATAAAAATGAAAATGAAGGGACGTAGAGTAAAACTGATCATTACAACCTCCCCACCATAGGAAATTTCGTCCCCGAAATTTGAACAAACTCCCCAAAATTAAATAAACTCACCAAACAAGAGTGCTCTAACAACTATAATCATTTTTTTAACGACATTAACAAGTTGCACATTTATGTCATCCAACATTTATCTTTATCTTCATCATCACTCCATCAAAACAACAATTGCTCAAATTAGATATATGAGATAAAACATCTACAACAAAATGTCATTCTTCCATAAGCTCATGCTCAATTTAACAACACATTCCCAAGAAGGAGAGGGCCACCCCCTCTCCTTGTTGTTCTTGAAAAGGACCATTTTTGCCTCTTGTGGGAGCACCTAGCTTAGGCTCTTGTTGACCATGCGTTAGCTGTTATTTATGCTTATTTTGCCATGAAATAGCATTGTTTTAAGTTGGTTTTGGTACACCATGCTTGCTTAGCATACATGCCTTGTAATGCCATTTTGTTGCCTTAACATGCCTTAGGTTGTAAACCATTGTTCTAGCATGCTTTAGGCCTAGCTTTGTGAAGCTTTCATGTTTATTTTGCCATGTTTAAGGTCTGTCCTTGGCTGTTTTGGTCGACCATAGCTTGCATTGCATGCCTCCTTTGCATTTTGGGCTTGTTGGCCTTAAGTATATAAGTGTATAGCATGCCTTGTTGTATCATTTCAATGGTTTGGAACCTCTTAACATGTTATCTCAGTCCTTGTAACATGCTTATATGCTTGCATTTAATCCTCCTTCAATGTGTTTAAAGGTTGTTACCTTATGTCCCTTGTTTAGGCCTCGGAGTATGCTTGCACTTTTAGACAACTTAGATGCCATCTAAGTGCACCCTTGGCTTTGTTAATGCAGAGATTGTTGGTGAGGGAATTAAGTAAAAGTGTGTTTATTTTGATGATAGTGTGGAAGATGGTTAGTGATGGGATTATTAAATTATTTTTATAAAAAAATAAATAAATAAAATTATTTCTATATTAAAAAGAAAAACTAAAACAAATATTAAAATGAGAAGGTGCACTTGATAAAAAAATTAAATTAAAAAGAAAAAGTTTTTATATAAAATAGACTTAATTCACTCACTATTTTTCTAATCTTATCCAAAATCTAACCAAGTTAATCCCTTTCCTGATGGGAATTACTAAGCCCCTCACACTGTTAATCTCCCTCCCAAATCATTACCAAACAAAGTGTGGGTGAGACCCACACCCATACTAATCCAATTCAGCCCCCTACACCGTTAAACAAACATGGCCTAATAGACTTGTTAGAGAAATTTAATGAGTAATAAATTATTTAAATTTGATTTAAAATTTTAATTAGTTTTAAAAGGTGTTTTAAGTTTGGTTTGATTATATTTGAGCAAATTTCAAATGAGTTTGGATAGGTAATGGATCTCTATATTAAAACTTAAAGTAATTTTTGAAGAAGCGCTAAAATTAGACTGTCTTTTTATTAATTAAAAGTCTAAGTACAATTTATTATTATTTTTTATTTATAGAATGAAACACAACTGTTACATAAAATATAGGCCTCACATATAGATCCTACTTATGTTGGTCTCATAATTTTATCTCACACCTATGTCTTATTATGTGAAAATATTATGTATTCCTAAAGTGCTCTGTAAATGATCCAACAATGTTAAACCCAGTTCAGCCATATATGTAAATATGGAGTTTGAATTGCTGGATGCCCTCCATCTTTGATAACCAATCATCGTCAAAAAATTTTAAGCAGTCATAGCATATACTGTTTCATCATCAAAATGCCTTCTTTAGTGAATCACAATCTGCTAAGGGATAAACAACCTGCTTTTTTTTTTTTTGCAAGGATCTTGATCTTAAGCATCTGCAGTTCATGTCCAATTTATCCTTAATTTCAGTGCAAGCACACGTACACATTAAACCGAATACAAAACAAAAAAAATAAAAAAAATACTCAAAAACAAAAAACTAGCGTGGTCAAGAATACGAACACTTGATTAAATTATAATCACATTGATTCGCATTTCAAATGGATAACGATTTAACATACTCTAACCGCATTCCTTACTATCTGCCTGCATAAACGTCTGTGTTGCAGTAAGCAATTATAGAATCAACAAATGGTCAAAAAGCAAATTTACATTACACATTGAACAATTTGTGGTTATCACCAAGAAACATAACACTAATATCATGCCATCAGCAATTCGAATATACAACTTGTGAAAATTTACCAGTTGGGAGTTATAGGAAATAAATGGAAATAAACTTGTCCATATTTCATTCTTCATCACTGCAAATGAAAAAGGGCAATAAGCAATAAACTGCTGTAAAAATAATTCAAACCACATAACCTCTCTACAAATGAGACAAAAATGCATACATCCTGACAATCCAAAAACCATATGTAAATAGAAACTACTCAATCTCTGTTCATCCTAACTTTTACATGGAAATTACGTTATGCATTGACTATCCTCCATGACAATCTGGTTGCTACACAATTAAGATCACAAACTCCCAAATTTCCAAGTCTGAATAAAGTCTCAAGTGACCATGGCATTGGCTTCATCTTCATCTGCCTCTCCTGGTGGCACTTCATTGAACATGTACTGGCTCTGATATTCCATCAAGTATTGTGTTGATCTCTTCACATCCCAAAATAGTTCATAAACTCGACTTATGTCCTCCATTTCCACAATCTTTCCCTTCCGCTTATGGCAAGCTAATGAAGCAGATGTAATTAGGTTGATGGCATATCTCAAAGACGTATCTACCCCAATCTTTGTCAATAACACTTTCGCATCTTCAGACATCTCCACATCTTCCTCTTGGGATCTAATGTCTAGAATTTTCCGAATTTCTTCTTCTGTGTAGGGCTGTGTGGAGATGATGAGTAGGCGATCAAGGAAATCAATTGGAATCCCATGGGGAGACTTGTAATTTGTGCCTCGGATTGTAGTGATCCCTCTGTTGGTGGCAACAACCAATATCGGTGCCATATCATTTTCTAAAGCACGGTTTAGGAAAGAGAAACACTCAATGTCAAGCATGTGGACTTCATCAATGAAGAGGACACCAGGCACAATCTCTGCCTTTCCTTCCTCCCTCCACTCTGCAACCTTTGTGTCAATTTGTTCCCTCACTTCAGCGCGAATTTCTCCAGTATCACCGGTGAAGAGAGCCAGAAATCCCTGTGTTCTGAAATTAAAAGATGATTGTGAGGGGAAAAAAAAAAGGAAAGCTAAAAATCAGGGGAAATATATCTGCATGCTTTGAAGCACGGACACCTCTCCGAGGGCTCCGTACCAGTGTCAGACACGTGTCGGACACGGACACGCGTCGGACACGCGGTGGACACGTGTCCGACACGCATGGGAGAGTGTCTCATTTTTTTTTAATTTTTTTACATCCGGACACGTTTTGGACACGTTATAGACACGTTTGGGACACGCGCGGGGGCAATTTCACAGTTTACTAAAATTTTTTGGGGTCAATTTGAAAATAACCAAAAACAGATCAAATTTGCCCTAATCTCTATTCGCCCTAATCTCTTCGAATCGACTATGGAATAGAAGATAAACAGCTGAGAAAGAGAGAAAGAGAGAGGACCTGACTTTGTCGTACGTCGTCTCTCGTCGATCGTTGCTCCTCGTCGGTCGTCTGTCGTCGGTCATCTGTCATCAGTCGGCGATCTTCTTCGTGCGATCTTCAGTCGATTTGCTGCTTCGTTAAGGAAGGTACGACTCTTCTTCGATCGCTCCCTCTCTCTTCGATAGCTCTCTCTCTCTGTCTCAGCCTCTTCTTTCTTTTATTTCTCTCTCTTCGATAGCTCTCTCTCTCGCTCTCTGTCTCAGCCTCTTCTTTCTTTCTTTTATTTCATTTTTTTTTCCTTTTATTTTGATTTTGATTCTGATTTTTATTTTATTTTTTTCTTTTATTTTTTTTCTTTTATTAATTTAATTTTTTCTTTTCTTTTTCTTTAATTCTGATTCTGATTTTGTTTTATTTTATTTTTTCTTTTCTTTTATTTTTTTTATATTCTGATTTTATTTTTTCTTTTCTATTATTTGAGGATATAATTTTAATAATGTATGTTTATTAATTTTATTATAGGGACCAATTATTAATTCTGAAACAATGGCTACGGGTGGTAGTTCTAATGATATACCTGATGATGATTTTGATGAGAATAAACCATTGTGGAAGTATATAACTAAATTAGCAAAACCTGGGGAAGGAGGAGGAAATTACCAATTACAATGTAAATTTTGTAATAATACTTTCAAAGGTTCATATACAAGAGTAAGGGCACACTTGTTAAAACTCCCAGGAAAGGGAATTGGTGCTTGTAAGAAAGTGACAAGTCAAAAACTTTCACAACTACAAAATGAGAATGATGCTGCTGAGCTGAGAATTAAAAATGCTCTTCCCAAAAATGTACCATTGCCTCCTTCCACTGTATCAGTGGGTAGTAGTTATGCTTATGAATCAAAGAAGAGGAGAACATGTGAGAGTGGGAGTGGGAGTGGGAGTGCGCCTGGGAGTGGGAGTGGGAGTGGAAGTGCTATTGAGAAAGCATTCAACTTGAAGGATAGAGAGCAATTGCATTTTGAAATTGCTAGGATGTTCTACTCGGGGGGGGTACCTTTTAATCTTGCAAGAAATCCTTACTATGTTAGCTCTTACATATTTGCTGCAAATCATAATATTCCTGGATATTTGCCTCCCGGTTATAATTTGTTACGAACCACATTACTTCAAAAAGAGAGGGCAAACATTGATAAATTGTTGCAACCAATTAGGGGCACATGGAAGGAAAAAGGGGTGAGCATTGTTAGTGATGGTTGGAGTGATTCTCAAAGGAGGCCTTTGATTAATTTTATGGCAGTGAGTGAAAGTGGGCCTATGTTCATTAAAGCAGTTGATTGTTCTGGAGAAACTAAAGACAAATATTTCATTGCAAATTTGATGAAAGAAGTGATTAATGAGGTTGGGCCAAGTAATGTGGTTCAAGTCATCACGGATAATGCTCCTAATTGTAAGGCAGCCGGACAACTCATTGAAGCTCAATTCCCTCATATTCTATGGACTCCTTGTGTGGTGCACACATTAAATCTAGCTTTGAAAAATATTTGTGCCGCAAAGAATATTGAGAGGAATGGTTTATTCTCATCAAAATCATCATCAGGTATATCATTAGAACTACCACCCGTAGCCATTGTTTCAGAATTAATAATTGGTCCCTATAGTAAAATTAATAAACATACATTATTAAAATTATATCCTCAAATAATAGAAAAGAAAAAATAAAATCAGAATATAAAAAAAATAAAAGAAAAGAAAAAATAAAATAAAACAAAATCAGAATCAGAATTAAAGAAAAAGAAAAGAAAAAATTAAATTAATAAAAGAAAAAAAATAAAATCAAAATCAAAATCAAAATCAAAATAAAAGGAAAAAAAAATGAAATAAAAGAAAGAAAGAAGAGGCTGAGACAGAGAGAGAGAGAGAGCTATCGAAGAGAGAGAAATAAACGAAAGAAGAGGCTGAGACAGAGAGAGAGAGCTATCGAAAAGAGAGGGAGCGATCGAAGAAGATCGAAGAAGAGTCGTACCTTCCTTAACAAAGCAGCAAATCGACTGAAGATCGCACGAAGAAGATCGCCGACTGACGACAGACGACCGACGAGGAACAACGATCAACGAGAGACAACGTACGACGAAGTCAGGTCCTCTCTCTTTCTCTCTTTCTCAACTGTTTATCTTCTATTCCATAGTCGATTCGAAGAGATTAGGGCAAATAGAGATTAGGGCAAATTTGATCTGTTTTTGGTTATTTTCAAATTGACCCCAAAAAATTTTAGTAAACTGTGAAATTGCCCCCACGCGTGTCCCAAACGTGTCTATAACGTGTCCAAAACGTGTCCGGATGTAAAAAAATTAAAAAAAAATGGGACATTCTCCCATGCGTGTCAGACACATGTCCACCGCGTGTCCGACGCGTGTCCGTGTCCAACACATGTCTGACACTGGTACGGAGCCCTCGGAGAGGTGTCCGTGCTTCATAACTTGCACCCAACATCCTACCCGAGTACATGTAACATAGTGTTGGTATGAACCAAAACTTTGTAGGGACCCATATGTGCACCTCAGCTTCTTTGGTGTACCTCCAAACCAATTAGTATCAGATGCTTCAGTCAAAGCCTACTAATCTAGGTTGCACATGTAAATAAGAACATAGACAACAAAAATCTCCAGCAGCATCTCTGTATGTGCTAGTGCACATAGACATTTTAAAACAAAGACCCTACATAATATATGGAGTAGAGGAGAGCTGATAGCTAGGCACCATCTTTATATTCTCTTAAACAGTGTTTTAAGTTTCAACACTGAAACCGAGGTCCGTAGCTCCTAAAACAACTTTGCTGTTTCCCTTATTTCTTCCATGTTCATCTATGTTATCAAACATTTACTGAACCTCATATCTATATTCTATAGTGCTTAACCAAGTGAGGTCTTTGAATGCATATATGAGAGAAATTTCAATAAGTAAAAATAGTACGAGGGAATAGCATAAGACAACTGAATGCCTTCAAGATGACATAAAAATGAGTTAACTTTTGTTTGGTACATCTTATTGTATGTTAAAAGCTGATAATTGGAAAGTAGTAGCTAAAAACACGAACACCCCTCCCCATCTTTCAAATAATCAGTTTTTTTTTTTCAGTTTATTTAAGATATTTCTACATAATAAGTTGTAAAAGAAGTTGCGCCAAACAGTATGATACAAACTCTCCAATTAAAATAAGCTATAATCAACTCTTTTAAGCTGCAACAAATAGACTGCAAAACTAAGTAATTTGAAAATGCTAGCATGATAAAGGTATATGAAATTTTTTTTTTTTGAAATTTTTTTTTTTTTTTTTTTTTTTGCAAAACTAAAAGTCCACAAGACAATGCACAACAAATAATGAAGGCCTTATTGCTTCTCCACACTACAAAGCAGCACCAGCAGTGTAAGAAATCAGAAACATGTCAAACTTGAATCTTTATAGGACCCTCATGGTATCTATAAAGACTTCACGTATAGATAAACAATTACAAAGTAATCACACCAAAGCTAGAAGGCATTATCAGTTTAACCCGCATTTAATTTAAGCTGGTTCTTCATGGTTCAAGGTCTCATTTTTATTGGTTCAAAGACAGTACAATCTTACATGAAATGACTTTGGAGAAAAAAATAACAATACCTGCTATTGATAACATCAATCTCGTGAAGATTAACGCAATGCACGACCTCTTTCCTCTTCTGCAACTCCCCATCAGGACACTGCACGAACTTGGTCTGCGGTCCCATGGCATCGTAATCCCTAGACCTCGAAAACGACCTGCCAAGCTTACTAATCTTCCCAGAAGCTTTATCAATGGCAATTACATCCCCACTCTGAACCTTATCCTTCCCCAAAGCCTCAATCATCTTGGCCCCCAAATCATATACAGTCTCCATCTCCGTGGTCTTCAGCGTCAGCTTCCCAGTCTTGGAGGCCGCTCCAGCCACCGCAGGCCGATCAATTTGAATCTCGACAACTTCTCCTTCAATGACCTCCGTTTCTTCTTTGATTCGGACTCCGATTGCTTTTCGAAAGGCTTGCATTAGGGCTTCGGTTTTGGACATCTCGAGAGAGAAGAGTTCGCTGCCAGCGAGCATTGCGAAAGGGGTTTCTTGGCCGAGGGACTTGGCCATGCCCATGGCGATGGCGGTCTTGCCGGTGCCGGGTTGGCCGGCGAGGAGAACGGCGCGACCGGCGATTTTGCCTTCTTTGACCATCTGGACGATGACGCCGGCGGCCTTGCGGGCCGAGGTCTGGCCGACCATGCCCTCCGAGATGGAGCGGGGCTCGAGGGTCGAGTCGAGACCCAGGCCTCGGATGTGGGAGTGTGCGCCGATTCTCTCTATTCGGGTTAGGTCTCGGGACTCTGAGAGTTTCAGCTCCGCCATGGCTAGTGGAGAAGGAGTGAGTGAGCGAGTGAGAGAGAGGATTTGGGGTTAGGGTTTGGAACGATGAAGACGAAAACTTCCGTGCGGGAGAGGGGGTTGGGAACAAATGTTCAGTACAATCTAACTTATTTAAATCGTAACTCTTTATTTTTTTACAAATGTTTTAAAATAAATTAAAAAATTAACTTTTTTTTATCTATTTTTTAAAAAGGGAATTACACTAATAATTTTTATAGTTCAGGACTCGTATCATTTTGATTCTTAATTTTTCAATTGTTGAACTTTAAATTTTGAATTTTATTTCAAATAAAGACAATTAAAAATATATTTGCTTAATTTCAAGGGTAAAATTGTCAATATGATAAAATATAAACTAATTTGATAAAAATAACTGTTAAAAAAATATTTTAAAATTTTAAAAAATTATTTCTACCCACCAATAATAAAATTATGTAAAATTAATAAATCTTTTAGACATTTTTTTTAACAAATTAATTTTTATTATGTGTTTGGATTATAATAATGTAATTAATGGTCGTTAGAATTTTAATATATAAAATGTTTTTAGTTTTGTATTTTTTTGATTTAATAGATTAGTTTAATAATGATAATTTACTGTCAACTTATTGCAGATTTAAAAAATGGTTCCATCTCTTATGTTGTTATGCAAGTATGGTGATCATGTCATTGTATTGAAGGTTGTGTCAAACTATACATTAAAGGATTTAACCGATTGTTATTGTTTATTTATGGTACTTTCCTGAATGGCAAATATAAAGGCATATTGTTATCAACTATAACGAAGAATAGTAATCAATGTAGATATTACTGTCAGTTTCTTACAAAATAAAAGTTTGCTTAATTTCAAAGTAACATTTTACTTATTTTTAGAGTAAACTTTTACTTTTAATTATATTAACATTTTATTGTTTCAAGTTTTTTGGCTTTTTGTGTATTATACTTGCTAATTGTAAAATGCACTCTCTTTCAGATTTTGTTTCCCTCTTACAATTGGTAATGTCGATACAGAGACTACAGATAGTTGTAGATGATCTTGTTATCTTTCATCCAATTTTTAAGAAGCTATCTGATAGGCCAAGAAAAAATAAGATTTCATCTAGGGGTGAGAACATAAGACAAGTATAGTATGGTAGATGTAAGAAGTACAGTCATAGCACGGAGACTTGTAAGGAGACATTGTGAAGATATTATTATTTTGTAATAAAACTATAGAAATAATGTAGTACTTTTGTAATAACAATTCATTTTTATTGTGTTGATGAATGATTGTCTATCCAATTCACTAATAAGTTGCTTTGTAATTCAATTTAACACTTTAATATATTTTTTTAATATTCTTGATTAGTTTCATGTAAAAGAATTTGTAATGGAGCTTATTCAGTAAAAGTGAAAGTTTTGAATAAAATTTTATTCTAAAAAACTATAATATGTTACTTTTAGAAACAATATAGGTTTAGTATGAGTTCTATTGTAAAACATATCCAACCTATACCAACATATGTGCCCTTTTTATTTTTAAACTTTAAAAAAAAAAAAATTTGATCTAAATGTCAGTTTTTAATAAAATTAGTATTTGCAGAATTCTTTTATCAAGATCTATCAAGCAAGATTCAAATTACTATGAAATTCCTTAAAAAAATAAAATAAAATATTGTAGAAATTGACATAGATAGTAAAATTTTATTATCATTATCAAAGTAAGGCAAAATTGCAGCGTAATTTAGAGTAAAATTTTACTCTAAATTAGAGTAAATTTTACTCTGATTTAAAGTAAATTTTTACTGTCGTTAAGCAAATTTGCTATCAAATTTTATTTTCGTTAACCAGAATAAACTTTTACTGTTATGAAAACATAGTACATACTAGATAAAGGAATTACAACCAAATTTTACTTTAGATCTATGAACAAACAAACAAACAAAAAACTCGCGAATTTTCATTGTAATAAATCAATTTATTATTTTTTTGACATATATGAGGTCATTTTATCTCAGATCTGAAGTTATTAATCTCGAACATGAGTTCATAGGCATCAAATCTGATATGGCGATGGCTGACGGTAAAAATGGTGGTCGCCGACCAACGGTAAAGATGAGCGATGCCAACTGATGATGCAGATGGTGGAGGTAACAAACAACCATCGACGATAGAGTTGGTGCAGAAAGAAAGAGCTGTAAAAAAAATAAAAAATAAATAAAAAAGCTTCTCTGACCTGTGATGGTTGATTTGAAAGTAACGACTGGTAGCAGATGATGAAATCGTTCAATAATTTTGAAACATTCGACAATGGCACTTGAAAATCTCTTATTATGCTTCAATTTTTGTTTCAATTGACAGTTTTTGAAGAAGGGTTTTCGAATTAAGGGTTTTTGAACTTTGACAATTTTCAAACAAAGAAAAAAAAATAAGAGAGACAAACAGCTCAACTGCTTACTATTGCCTACATATATACAAGGGTATTCCTGTTTTTTCATATTATGTTTTTTTTTTTTTTTTTAATTCTGAGGGGTTTTGACAACAGTAATTTATTCCATGTGTTTTACACAAAAAAAAGGCCCAATAGAAGGAGGTTCTCACCCAAAAAAACCCTAAAAACAACTACCCATTATATGATCATCATCCAAACACATAATAAAAATTAATTTGATAAAAAATAAAATAAATAAATGTCATTTATTAATTTTACATAATTTTATCTTTTGTAGGTAGAAATAATTTTCAAAAATTCAAAAATGTTTTCTTTACATTTATTTTTGTCAAATTAATTTATATTTTATCAAATTGACGATTTTATCCTTAAAATTATAAGGACCGTTAGTGTAATTCGCCCATTTTTAAAATAAGTTGTCCATTGTTAACACTCTCACTCTCATTTTTGTTTCTATCATACTGAGCATTTGTTTGGGAAGTGATTTTTTAATCTTTTAAGTTAAAATGTAAAGTGAAAAAAATTAACCACTTTGTTTGGTTTGAGTTTTTTAAAAATAATTTTTAGAAAATTTTACTTTTCTGTTTTCTATACTTTTTTGTTTTTACTTATTTTTTTAATATTTTAAGCATTTTTTAAAATTTTTAGACATCCCTAACATAAATATACTTAAAAAGTATAATTTTCATAAAAAAAAAATCTTTAAAAAATTCACTAAGTACCAAAAATACCAAAAAAATATGAAAATTCAGTATATTTTTCGTATTTTTGTGTATTTACTAATTTTTTGAAATATTTTTTCACAAACATTTTACTTTTTAGATACATCCAAATAAGGTACATCTAAACAGTTAAAAAAAAACTTAAAATTTTAAAAATATTTACTAAAAAAAATACGAAAAATAAAAAACTCAGTTTTCAGAAAACTAAATTCAGAAAATTGAAACTAAACACACTGAATATATTTGAAAAAAAATTGACTTAAAAAACAGCATGAATGGAAAGAAATTTTTTATTTTTTGACATTTTTAGTGAACTTTTTTGTATGAGTTAATTTTTTTATTTTATTTTTACATTTTTAATGAATTTTTAACTTTTGACTAAAATATTAGGATGCTAAACAAGGATTGAGTTAATTTTTTTATTATAATAACATTATTTATTAATTATTTTTAAATTATATTCATTCGCTTACTTTTTAAGTGTTTTACTAAAAAAATCTAAATTGTCATTCCCTCTAGATTTTTTTTTTTTTTTCTCTTAAATTTCTCAATGAAAATGAGAGTCAAAGAATAAAATTTAAAAAATTGAGTAAAATATAACAAAAGAAAATAATTTATCATAATAATTGTTGATTATAAGCTATAGTTTGCAGAGAAGAAAAAAAATATGAAGAATAAGTCAACAAGTTACTTGATCATAATTAAAAAATATATTATTCTAATTTTTTGTTGATATTATTATTGACACTTTTAATTAATATGAAATAGCTTTAGGCATGATTTAAAATGCCTCACTTTAATAGATAGATTGTCATACTTAGTGTTATCTTTCATAATTCAATATGAAAACAAAACATACTTGTTTATACAGGGCAATACTCCGATTTGCACCCTTAGCAGTACATACTGTATATAACTTACCAAAAAAATAGGTAATTTTACTACAAAATTAGAGAGGCCATATTAGATTTGGTGCGTTCACTTCCAAGTCCATCTTTGAGATTAGAGCTCTAATCATTAACTTTTTAAGATTTACTACATAAAATATTTATGAAAATAATTAAGATGATCAAACAAGAGTTACATTTTAATCAAATTATTTTTGCATTAAAAAATTAGCCTATCACCCGTGCTATGCACGGGATAATTATAGATATTTATATTTGTTTTGGATTTTTTTTAATATATAAATTATATTTTTTAAGATTTGTTATAAAAATAATTTAACAATCTTATCACTAACCATAGTATATGAGAAAAGTTAAAAAGGGTACTGCAATAACTATACACAGATTGTATTTATAATTATTTGTATGAGGGGATTTTAAATATTGATCAGGAGATTTTGACCAAATCAATAAATGCATGCATGTGAATTGAAAAAAGTTAATAAATACTGATCAAAAGATTTTGACCAAATCAATAAATGCTGAGTTTTTTTTTTAATAAAAAATTTAAAAAATTCAGATTGGGATATTGAAACTCCCACAGGGCTTGGGGTTAAAAACCCTATTTTCCTTAAAAATCCCCTTGAGTGTTTATGTTTATCTAACTTCAATCATATTAAAAAATTAGATTATAAACAAATGGAGATAACTTCAATCATACAAATCACATTTTTTTTAATGCTATCTAACTACAATCACATTTTTTTCATAATAAAAAAAATAATTCAAAAAAAGGACCATTAAAATAGTAAATAAAAAGATTATTTAGTAGCATTGAACAAACGACAATCACATTTTTCTTTTTGTGAGTATTTATGTTTATCTAACTTCAATCATATTAAAAAAAATCAAATTATAAACAAAAGGAGATAACTTCAATCATACAAATCACAATTTTTTTAATGCTATCTAACTACAATCATATTTTTCTCATAATAAAAAAATAATAATTGAAAAAAGAACCATTAAAATAGTAAATAAAAATATTATTTATAGCC